TTTTGGTGTCTGTGTTGTTTTTGTTAGAATAAAAAGAGAAAGTTTATACCCAGATTGAGAATTGCAACTCAGAATTCTTTTCAACATACTATTTTTGGCATTATACACCTCATAATTGTGAGTTATGGAATGGTTGGGTTTGTATGGTTTTTCTTAATGGGTTGATCATTTTGCTGGCAGTAGGTAGGTGCGTGGGTTTGATTTCTGTGTTGTTCTTTTGCTGGTTAGAATAGTAAAAATGGATAGATTGATAGAATATTACTGTAAAACACATTATTCGATAGTACAGTTACTCAATAGTTAATAAAACAATATACCCAAACCTATATTATTGAACATAGGTCGTACACAAATCAAATAGCCCATATTTACCGTTTAAGCGTCTTACATTTCGATCCCAGCTATTGTATGTGATTTGATCAAACTACTTACCTAGATGTTGCTAATTCAGTGTTCAAAACACGACTTATATGCAGCAATAATGTGCAGTAGTGCAGTTAACATCAAAGCATGCATAGTAAGATCATATATTATTTTTAGTTCACACATTAATCTGTGCTTAAAACAAAATAGAAAACACCTGCCATATTCTCTGCCAATCATCAAGTGAAATAAATTCTAAACCAAAAGCAAGTATTGTCTAATGTGATTTTACATTCATAGAAAAAAATATACATGCAAAATGATACTTGTCATACCTCTGCTTTTGGTTGGTGTCAAATTACTGCTGGATTCAATTGATGCTGTCTCCACAGTAGATTCTTCCAGGGTAACGTTTGAAACGGACATAGCAGATGTAACCTCAGATACTGATTCATAAGATGCGGTAATATCAATGTCTTGGCTTGAGGACACACGACTGGTTTCAAATGGTGCTGTAGCTTCTTAGAGTAATTATGTCTGAGATAGACCCAGTAATTTCAGATGCTGATATAAGCGGTTCAGTCATATAAATATGTTCGCTTGGGATAATTCCAGTTGATGCCGGCTTTGTTGTAGCTACTATGGACTCAGTAGATGTAACCTCAGATAGGATCCAAAGTGTGTAGTCATATCAGAGTCTCGAGTCGAGGTCACATC